ACTTGAATTAAATGTTGAGTTTTAACATTTTAGCTCAACAAGCTCTAGTTGGGTAACAAGGTCACTAGATCCTCTTAAAGATGGAGTCTCTGAGAACAGTCCTCATAGACACAGGAAGTGTTTTCAGCAGAGTTGAGCTGACTATCCAGGAACGACACCAGGAATTTAAAATTTGCCAGTTTCAACAGGTTGGCCATCGAGAGAAACATGAATCACCTTCAGGTTTTGTTAATGTAAAGCAGGTTCAGGCTGTCTAATAAACGAATCGCTCTCCAGCAGACTGGGATATCTTTGACAGATCTCTGGACCGGCGCTGATGACGAAACTGATGACCTCCCCGGCCTGGGTCAAATAAACACAGATAAGCCTCACATCTCTGAGCTGGAGCTCAGTGTCTGCCATGATCCTGACGGTTCCGTCTCCGTGCCTTCCTTCTGCCGCCACCGTCCAGCAGCTGTTCTCTGTGGCCCGAGACGCCGACATCGTCCCGGACATCTCCCTGGATCCGGTGCTCACCACCTTCCTGTCCCTGGACTCTGCCGCCCTGCAGCACCGGTACGGCTTCCTGCAGCGCGGCATGAGCGGCGAGCAGCAGGCGGCCTTCCACCTGAATCTCACCGCGCAGCTGAGCAGCAGCAGGGTCACGAACGGCGGCGTAGGGGTCGTCGCCTTGGCCCTGTCCCTGCTGTTTGACCAGGTTGCTCAACATGTACGTCAAATATTTCATTTCCCTGTTTAAATTTTTTTTTTCATCAACAGAGTATTAAGGACAAAACAATTATGGGTAAATGTCAGAAATAAAGTTATTCATATAATGAGAATAATCCTAACCCTATTATGATGTTATTCTCATAATTTTATGTTATTCTGTAATTTTATTAGTGTGGCCTGGGACAGATTTTAGAATGGGCTTACAGTTTCGGTCGCCCAGGGGTCCAAAAATGACCTTTATTACATTTTTAATGAATTCATGCTTTACATTGTGTCTTATATAAAACCAATTGATCAGATGAACTCCATGAGTCTTTGGAGAACCACCCACAGTAATCAGTAGGAGAGTTTTTGTGCAGCGCATTGGGCACCAAATGGGCTCCAGCCCAGGGCCACGACCGGGTGAGTCCGGCCCTGCTGCTCTGCTGTAATGTCTATGAAGCCAAACTTTTAAAGCTGCCATCAGGTTTCGCCACGGGGATCCGAAGTTCAGAAGATGTTCGGCATCAGCGCCTCGTCCAGAATCGGATCGATGATCCACGGCTACCTGCGCCTCGTCCCCGCCATCGCCAACGACGAGGAGAAGATGGCGGAGGCCGCCGAGCTGTACGACGCCTGGCTTAACCTGGAGCTGATCGACCATTATGAGAGGATGACCACCAAGAAGAGGATGAGCACAGAGGCCATGCGGCAGTGGCTGGCCGGCGCCGCATTTCACCTGCACCTGAGGATCCATCAGGTAAGCTGAACCAGAAAACAATGGAGGATAAACTTCTACAGAACTCTGGTTTTCCATTTTCATTCAAACTGACTGAATGAACGTATTTCTGCAGTTTGTACTGGGAGCACTGGGAGGAGGCAGACGAGCTCGATGTATTTTTTTCAGAGTCACTACATAATAATTTTAACAAATTTTCTGGTGAAAGAAGAAATAAACAGACAAATGAGCTCTAAAAGTAAAACCACCTGAGGAAAAGGAAGCACCTCGCTTTTAAAAGTACTTAAAGTATTTGAGTAAAAGTATTTTCTCAATGTATTCTTTTATGCAGGAGTGTCCAAAGTGCGGTCCAGGGGCCTTTAGTGGCCCTATGCTGATTGCATGCGGCCACTGACATCAATTGAAGATTAAAACAAAATCCATACAGACATCTGATGTCTGCATGGATGTCTGATGACTTTCTATATTTAGTTTGGAAGAAATGATCACAAAGTAGTACAAAACACAAATTATTTGTCTTTAAATAATGATGTGCTGTTTACACAAACACTAATTTTGCTGCACACAAATCTGCTGTTAATTAATTCATAAAACTAGCATTTTAAAGAAACAGTGACCTGAATCTGGATTTTATTGCTCAGAAATTACAAAAAAATCTTCCAATTTCCTAGAAAATGTAGAAAATTTCTTTTAACAAGAAAAACTTACCACACTTTTTCAGGTTTGTTTCTATAGTGATCTGCACATCCCTTTCCAACAACAGATCTATTTGTTTAGTTGAAGTGGAGAATCATGCCGTATTATTTCCTACTATGTTGTATTTTCCCGGATTTCGCCATATTTGGCATATTATGAGTTTAGCCATCTTCAGGCCTGGCAGACATTGAAGCAGAACTTTGATGTGTATCCCAATTAATTAATAATTCAACAAGGAATGGTAACAGAAAGCTGCTTTTTCCTCCAGTTCTGCTTGTTTTTGGATTCAAACCTGTTGGAGACGAAAGCAGGAACAGAATAAATCTGAATTGATTCTCCAACAGGTTCGCCTTCACTCTGTGCCATCTGGGTCCATCGAGTCTCTGCGTCTGTCCTACAAGACGGGGTTAAATCGCCTCGTTAGCGGCTATGTCGCCTATTTACGTAAAAATATTTTGGAGACTGAAGCGGGGGAAACATTGGAGCCAAAACGCAGCAGCGTGGAAAACAGCAGCGCCTCCAGCACCGGGAATGTGACGGCTCACCCGGCTGATGCCAAAGCCAACTCCACGGCAGGCGACCAGAGGAGCTGCGGGCAGCTGGTGGGAAGAAATGCTTCGGCGGCGCCGTGTTTCAGGCAACTGGGTCTGCTGGTCATCGAGCCGCAGAGGGAGGTCAGTCACGGCGTCCGGCACCGGCCCTGTGAGTCTGCGGCCATCCAGGAGGCCCTGGTGACGCGCATCATGAAGGCGCAGGACCTGCAGCGCAACAGGAACTTCTTCCTGTATCCGGAGAAAGTCCTGCGAGGCCTGCTGAGGCAGAGGCAGCACTTTGAGCTGCGAGCCAACCGGACCGAGGGAAACGGTCCATCCGGGTCGCAGCCGCGGAGCGGCGGCGGGACAGGGCCGAATCAAGAAAAGAAAACCATACAATCAAGAGAATAAAGTCATAACATTACCACTTTATTGTCGTAATATTATGATTTTATCATCACACTCTTACGACACTGGTTTCATTTTTTAGTTCTTAATTTTTCTTATACGGTGGGTAACACCCCACCGTATTTTAAAGATTAAAATGACAAAAACCTTTTAAATAACATGATAACAAAATAGAAAATCTAGACAGAAGAAATTCTTTTCAAATGATTATTTTTTCATTGATTGCATGTAAGCAATCAGTCAATTGCTTAGATCAATTGCATGTAAGCAATTGACTGATTGCTTACATGGAATCAATGAATAAAGTTGATTAATATTGTACATTCCAGCAACAAGGCTTTAATCACGTGTCGCCCTCGGCCGTTCGGCCGCGTGTTGCCGTGGTTCACGTCCACAGAAACACACAAAGTCATCAAACACGCTTCATAAATAGTGACATATTTAGTGTTTCTTCTTGATCTATAAATCACTCACCAGGCTCAGCAGATAGGAAATAACACAAAACAGAAAACATTGTGCACAAACAAGAGGTCTCACTGGAACACAGACTGTATGTTTGTCTCTGTGTCTCAAGTACTTTGGTTAAAATTTATTTTTTTTTATTCAGTGACGTTAATTGCACTGGATTGAGAATCCAAAAACTTTCTCAAGTAGAACGAGCATAATAATTTTACTCAAACAAATGTAAAACTACTCCTGAAATGTTTATTCCCAGGTCATGTAATGGATGCTCTTTGCCACTTATTAAAATTCCTTTGGGATCAATAAAGTATTTTTGAAAACTTACAGTTGGGGGCTTGTTTTTAATATATTCATCTTGTATTGATTAGTAAGATCAATCCTGCGTCGCAGTTTAAAGGGCACAGCTCTTATTTTGTTGGTTATCAAACATTTGTGATGAAATGTCCAGACCTTCTGTCCCGCGACTCGGGAACAAAGTGTAAAGGTTACAGCCTTCCGCTGTAAATAAAGCCAGCTGGGGGCGCCAGCGGGGGGCGCTGTTCGCTGAGGCTGCAGCACCGCGCCGGAGAAAAAGAAAACCCTTTTTATGCGTGCAGCTGCTTGTTTTCACGAAGCACCTGAAAACAATTCAACACATTATGATCTGAGGAAGACAGAATATTACAGTGAAACCTCCAGTTAGCAGTTTTCATAAGGTAGGTTGTGTCTGACTGTTTTCAATCTCTTTAAAACATTTGGATGACATTTTAAATCGCTAGTTTTAGCTAACGGTCTGAGCGCTAAAACAAAAGGCTGATAATGGATTGAAACGTGACGTGCATCTGAGAAAATCTACTACAGTGTTCGAATAACTTGAACTGTGAAAGAAAACACATTTAATAACTCCGAAAGGCTTTAGTTTACGTCCTTGTGAGGATGTCGGGCCTGTAAGGAAGTCAGTGAGCTAAAATGCTAGTGGTGGGTGTGGTTAGCCCTGGGCTAACCCGAGCTAACCGGGGCTAACCTGGGCTAACCACACCCACCAGGTAATCTAGGTATCGGTGGTTGTTTCCCTGTTGCTTTTAATGGCAGTCAGGCCTGGTTATTGCTCCGCGTTCCTGTGAGTGTCGGACACATTGAGCAGTTTTTGGCTGACAGGTTGGGTCTCCGCCACATCCACACGTGGTTTCTCAAAACTGGCGCAGCCGCATTTAGTGGGAAAAGGAAGGAAAGTGGCACAGAAAGCGGGTTCGGGTTGCGGTTTGGGTTAGTCTCAGGGCTGTTCCTGTTCGTTCTCATTTACAACCTGGTTTGTGTTCCTGGGGAGGGGCAGTTTACAGCCTTATAACCCGGGGCAAATAATGCGGACGCATGAAGGGAATGGTTCCTCTGAGAGATTCTCCAATCTGAACATTTGCAAATATCCTCTATCAATAATATGCTTTTGTCCTAATGTGGCCCATATCATCTTACCTTCATAATACAGTGGAGAAATGACCGCAGAGACGTCGATAAAGGGCAACACGATGGGAATAAATGATAAATATCGACAGGCTTTCCTTGTCGGTACCGGGGGGAAAACCGTTGATGGTCAAGATTTCAGCTGCACAGTCAAAAATCCCTGGCATAAATCAAAGTAATAATAATGAAAATCAGCAGAAAGGTCTGCGCTTTCCTCATGTAGATGTTAGAAATGTACATATTTTTCAGCCATAGATGATCGAGTTTTGTTCCATTGTAGGCAATACAATGTTTGAAAATTGAAATAAATTACTGGCATCTTGTTGGATTTTTATATTGTATTAAATTTTTATTTAATATTCTATAAGAATTGAATTGTGCCGATGAAATTTTTCATTGGCACAGTGGCCTCTTTTATTCGATTGATTAGAATAATTGATGACTAATACAATCATTTGTTGCAGTCCTGATGTTTGATTCTGATAAATATCGCTTTTCTTTAATATGGGCAATATTTATATCGACCATCAACATGGGCCCAAATATTCACGTTGGTGCTTTCCTAATGTTCAATCATAAATTTATAAAACTGGATAAAACAACAATATTCCATGATTAATGACGTAGTGTTTTTGTTGGAACTAAGACATTCTGACATTTTAAAGTAAGATTTCAATGTAAAACCTCCAGTGTTATAAAACGAGACGTTTGAGCGGCAGAGCCCTGCAGAGTGTTTTTACTTTTACCAGAAGATTTATTTACATTTTTTCCTGGTCTCTTATTTCAGGCCGACTCCACTTCCAGTTTCTGTTTCATTAAATGTTTTACCTAATGTTGGTGTGCGCATCTGTCTGTCATTTTCATCTTCATGCCAACCTGGCCGTTCCGCCACCACACGACAGGAAAACGTCCAGTTCACATAAATGCAGAGAATGTTAGGAAGTCTGCACCACCATCAAATGCCAGCTTCTATTTAAAAAATAAAAGAAAAATATGTTCAGAAATGTTTACGCCCCATTATGCAGCATATTAGTTTCAATGTAATGATTGGAAAAATTAAATAATACTGTGGATTTGCTGTTATTTTTCCCCTGAATGATGCTTTCTATTTATTTGTTTTCTTCATGACTTTAAATTTTCCTGCCAAGGTTTAATGTTAAATGAAAGTCTGAAACTAGAATATGTCAAGATACTGTCAAAGAAATTTGTATATTATTGCAAAATAACATTTATTTAGAATAGAAGGTAAAACCTGTAATGCTGTAAACTTTGTTTGCACAGACTTGAGCAAAATGTCAGATTCAGACTCGGACAGCGACTGGGGCTTCCCCGCAACAAGAAGTTTCTGGTAAAAATCCAGCAAATATTTTCCATGTTTGCTTTGTTCTTCATCTAAACCTGTTTTTCTTTTGGCTTCGTAGAAATCTCACGGGGAGATCAAAATAAACTTTTCAGGTAAGAAAGATTTAAAACTTATAGAAAATTAATTAGGATTGACTTAAAATTAAATATTCTGAAAGTTTTCCACCATATTTTCTCTCTAAATTGTGACTCGTGAGGAATGTTTTTATTTTTGTAGCATTTAATTCATGTTTTATGTTCAATCACCAAAAAGCCTTAAATGATGACAACATGAACAGAAAATGAGATGGAACAGAGTTGGGGATTTACTGTATTGTGAAAAATTATCACTGTAACAGTTTCGATAAATTTCAGTTATTTTAGAAAAATGGCAGTTTGATTGGAAATGTTTTTATTTTCTCCACTTTTTGTTCCACAAGGCCACGAGTAAATTAGAGGACTAATGTCTCAGCCAGATCTAGAGAAACTCATTCATGTGTTTATCTTTAGTCACATTGATTATTGTAACAGTGTCTTCACAGGCCTGTCCAACAAATCAATCCTCCAGCTGCAGCTGATCCAGAAGCTGCTGCTCCTGTTCTCACTAAAACCAGGAAGATAGAGTCATAACAGCAGTTTTAAAGTCCCTCCACTGGCTCCCTGTAGCTCAAAGAATAAATTTTAAAATATTGTTGTTAGTTTATAAATCACTGAACGGTTTAGCACCAAAATACATCAGAGATCTGCTGTTGTTGTATCAACCTTCCAGACTCTCAGGTTCTGGTTCTGGTTCTGATCTGCATCCCTAGAACCAGAACCAAGAGAGGAGAAGCAGCTTTCAGCATCTATGCACCAAACATCTGGAACAAACTTCCAGAAAACTGTAAAACAGCAGAAACCCTGACTTCCTTTAAATCTCAACTAAAAGCCAGTTGATTATAGAGTTTTATTTGAAATGTAATCAATTATAAATTTAATGATGGAACAATGTATTGTTTATTCTATGATGCATGATTTTGTGTTTATGATGTAAAGCACTTTGAAATGCCTTGCTGCTGAAATGAGCCATACAAATAAAATTTGATTGATTGATAAATGAAACTTGTTGCCGATCATGTGATTAGATATGTTTTTTCCTGCAGAAAGCTATTTCAGATGAGAATATTCTTGAAGAATAAACTTTGTGTTTCGGCGCCGTGAATTAGAGCTGCACTGATTGACTACCGGTCTTTGAAAAAAACCTAGCTTACAGATTCTGATTTTGTCCGAAAGCAGTTTTTTGTCTGAAATGTTACTCAATATATCAAGAAAGTTGCTGGTTTTGGCTGAATGGGGCAACTGTTGGCAAACTGATCTTTGGTTTACAGCTGGAAGAACTGAAGCTGTGCCAACACTAGATCTATAATTCTAGGTATAGCTCTCTGTCAAAATTTCAGTTTATGTTTCAGAAAGTTTTAGCACATCCACACATTGATCTGTTCTCAGCGTATGTTCAGTGGCTGGATGGGGTCAAAGGTCACCTGGTGGCCTGTGATGTGGAGATATGTCTCCTTGGTGTAACTGGTAGCTAATCTCATACTGAATATATCCAGATAAAGCGACATTTTGCTTGCAGCTCCTCCAGAGAGAGTGTTGAGCCAGTGGGGCTCCATCCCCCTACACACAAGAAGGAAGGCGCTCAGCGGATGAGAGTTTGCGTCTTCTGGTTTCCCACGCTGCTGCAGCCCGACATCTCCAAAACCTTCACTTGGGCCGCAGAAGTTTGGCTTAATCAACGAAGAGTGAGTGCAACTCAGCCCACTGCTACAGATCAGACAGGAATCGTTGCAAAGTGCTGAGATTAGATTCTGTTTGCAGGAAAAGTGAAGTGCTGGATGTGGAGAACCTCCGCAAGATTCAGGTGGTTGAAACGATCCTGCTGCACCTGGAAGTGGCAACTGTAAGTCCCACCTCCAGCTAGCTGGGTCAGTCTCCGTCAGCTAGCTGGGTCTCCGTCAGCTAGCTGGGTCAGTCTTAGCTAGCTGGGTCAGTCTCCGTCAGCTAGCTGGGTCAGTCTTAGCTAGCTGGGTCAGTCTTAGCTAGCTGGGTCAGTCTCCGTCAGCTAGCTGGGTCAGTCTCCGTCAGCTAGCTGGGTCAGTCTTAGCTAGATGGGTCAGTCTTAGACAGCTGGATGGGTCAGTCTCCGTCAGCTAGCTGGGTCAGTCTCCGTCAGCTAGCTGGTCAGTCTCCGTCAGCTAGCTGGGTCAGTCTTAGCTAGCTGGGTCAGTCTCCGTCAGCTAGCTGGGTCAGTCTTAGCTAGCTGGGTCAGTCTTAGCTAGCTGGGTCAGTCTCCGTCAGCTAGCTGGGTCAGTCTTAGCTAGCTGGGTCAGTCTTAGCTAGCTGGGTCAGTCTCCGTCAGCTAGCTGGGTCAGTCTTAGCTAGCTGGTCAGTCTTAGCTAGCTGGGTCAGTCTCCGTCAGCTAGCTGGGTCAGTCTTAGACAGCTAGCTGGGTCAGTCTTAGACAGCTAGCTGGGTCAGTCTTAGCTAGATGGGTCAGGCTCCGTCAGCTAGCTGGGTCAGGCTCCGTCAGCTAGCTGGGTCAGTCTTAGCTAGATGGGTCAGTCTCCGTCAGCTAGCTGGGTCAGTCTTAGCTAGCTGGGTCAGTCTTAGCTAGCTGGGTCAGTCTCCGTCAGCTAGCTGGGTCGGCCATTATCAGCTAGCTATTCATAGTTATTGATTTTGATGACATATCAGATGTTCAAATATTTTTGCTAAATTATCCGGTTTATTCGTTCTGTAGCTGTTTTGTTCCAAATGTGATGCGTTTTCTGTTTCTCCTGCAGTTGGACAAGGATTCCTCCAGACACGTTTTTTCATTTTTTGCAACATGTTGCATCAGGTAATCTGCACTTGGTTGGCTCACAGATTTCCATCTTATTGTCTGACTTTATGCCATTCATAACAATTTAAGTTGGGCTGTGAGGAAATAACAAAACTTCTGCTGATCTTGTACATCTCTTAGTTAGCCAGTACTGGTGCATTCAGTAACATTGGGACTTTCTGCTGCAGCACTGCTCTCCAGAGATCCTGGAGGAAGCGGTGCGCTGGCTGGAGACGCTGGGCGATCGGTTCAGACGGGAACAGCTGCTCTGCCTGGGAGGATTCCCCAACTGCTACACAACATTTGGCTTCATCTTCTCGGAGTGTGAGGCGACAAGTTAATTGTTTTTAGTTTTTTTTTAATCATTTTTTTGCCGAAGAGTTTTTGCGGCGCCAGTGGCTCGTATGTTTGAGAGTCGGCAGACAGGAAAGAGGGTGAGGAGAAGGGGAGGGAGGATGACATGCGACAAAGGTCGCCGGGACCGGGAGTCGAACCTGCGACGTCCGTGTCGAGGACTGAGGCCTGCAAACGTGGGGCGTGCTGACCCTTGTGCCACCGCAGCACGCCCCTGTCAAGTTAATTAAAAAAATTAAACTTTATCTCAGAGTGTGAGGCTAAGAGTTGTGAAGATGAAGTTTTAGTTTTTTACAGTGCAAGGTTTTCCTTTTGTTAAAAAACAGATAATTTCTAAAATGTGAATGGTTTGTTTTTGATTAGATGCGAAGTTTATCCGGGAGATGAGCAACAACCTGGACGCTACGATGAAGGCCCTGAAGGCACCGCCCGATGAGTCGTCTGCAATGGTAACAATCAAATCCTCTACACTGTAAAAACTATAAAAGCACTAAATCCTAATGAGTAGTTTTGTCTGATCTATGGGAAAAAAAATCTATATAAAACAAAACTAAGCGATAAGTAACTATTAAGCAAAATATTTTTGTTTTAAGTCAAATCTAATATTCATTAAACTTATTTCCTTTAACGAGACATTTCTACGTATTAAAGGAAATGCACTGCTACTGAAATTAGAACCATTTCATGAATATGGAGGAATATCAAACTCTTATTGAACTGAGAAATGATTTAAAGTTCATTTCAAGTGAACTGAATCAACTTGGTAAGAGTTTTTTTTTTGCTGTGTGGGACATTTTAATGCATTTTCTTCAGGTTTTTGTTTTTAATGATTTAAAATCAAAATATTTATACGCAGTAAAAACTGCTGGGTTAGAAATAACCCAATTTGTAACCCAGTGCTGGGTCATATCTGGACCGAGTCAACGCTGGGGTGTTTAACTCAACTGGGTTGGTTGGTGGTTTGACCCGACACTTTGGGTTACGGCCTCTAACCAAACGCTGGGTTAAAGTTAAATTGGTTAAATTGACCCAAAACTGGGTTGAAAGTCATGACCCGACACAAGCATTATTGTACCACAATATTAGGGTAAAAAATATATATATTTATATTGAATTTCACTGTATAAAAACATGATTAAAAACAATTTAAATGTCATACATATGTAGAGCCAGCAGAATTCATTTACAAAAGTTACAAAACAAGTTTTTTCAAAAGTATATAATGAAATCACTTTAACTGATTATTTGGCTACAACTCCAGAAGTATCTGTTACTACACATTAGAAAACATTTCATGTAAAAAATCTGTTTTAAAGCAAACCACAAGTAAAAATGTCAGCCACTAAACAAGGAGTATTTGTATCGATACTTTAGGATTTTTGCTAATGCATGAGGACATACGATTCCATGCTGCCGCATTTTGTAGCTGCGCCACCAGGTTTGTCCCAACCTGATGGAGAGAGGAGACGGAAAAAACAACTTAGTGATGCACTTGATTAAACGGTAAACAATTTGAGCATGATTCAGAGACAAAGGTTGACTTACAGGCTGGACATCAATGAAACCATCATCCAGGTTGATGGGTCTGAAACTTTTCTCCCAAATGTGTATCAGCTGGTCTGTCTGGCAAACATAAGCTTGTGCTAAAATGATGCAGTATCTACAAAGCATGAAAGCAAATTAGAAAACATTTCTGAGCTTCAATACCTTGAAGGAGCAAACTCATGTTCCTGGCCAGACAGAAGGTCTTTGTTGAGAACAAGCAGTTTCAGGTTTCACTTTATTCTCCTGCTGTAGCATCACCAAAGCTTTTTGACAGAGCAACCTACCCTAATAAACATTTGGAATAACCATAAAAATATACCAAACATGTTCTAAATAAATTCTATTTATGAATAAAATCCTATTCATGTTGAAACGTTATCTTCTTTTTACTTACCGTGTCTTATTTCAAAGTAGAGGATCAGTCCGATGTGCAACGTTCAGTCTTGTTCAAAATGGAGGCTTGTGAAGAGGGGCGTGGCTTCTTCCAGGTTCCATCTTTAACCCATCCGATTGGCTAAATCCACCCAATCACTGACCCAACAGAAGTATTCAAGCTGAAGAGTTCTGATAAATTTCTGACCCAACTCTTCAGTTTTGAATTTTGACCCAATATTTGGTCAAACTAATCCAACCTATGACCCAACAGCTTCTACCCAGAAATGGGGTTATAAAAATAACCCAGCATTTTCTACTGTGTATCGACGTACCAATAATTTCAAAATGTAGTCAATAAATGTTGTTAGACTGTAATCTTGTTTGTTGCAGTTTGAAAAATAAAATTCATTTGTAATAAACGTTTTCTTAAGTTTGTTGTTGTAGAAACGAGGAGCTGCCGTATAATAAACGTTTTTATAGAGAAAATCAATTATCAGTATTTGATTTGTTTTCTTTCTGCCCCAGAATGTTTCTCTACTGTGGAGATTTTTTGTTTCAGGAAAGTGAAGCGATGAAGATGTTTGGGAACGAGAAGTTCCAGGCCCAGCAGTACGCAGAAGCTCTGATGTTTTACACCAACGCCATCAAATGCTAGTGAGTTTCTGGTGCCAACGATGAAACCATGTTTATGAACCGGTAACCTCACAATGTTTTCTCCATACTTCCAATTAAAGTTCTTTAAAAACGAAAAACAAAAGTCAAAGTTTAATTAGTGTCCATGTTTTATGTTTCTATGTGCTGAATCAATCTGAAGTCACTGCAATCATTTCTACTGGTGATTAAAACCGTTATAAGTGTATTTTGTGTCCTGAATGTGATCATTTTAGTCCTGACAATCACATCCTGTATGGGAACAGAGCGCTGTGCTACATCAAGCAGAAGGAATATCTGTGAGTAAAATCAACCATTGCTGCAAAAAACTTTGGACTTATGCAAAGTTTGTATTTTCTTTGTTTCATCTGGTCATAATTTTACATGATCTGCGTGTAATAAAAACTCTCCAACCTACACCTGAAGTTTAAAAGTTAAACTTTGTATAAATGGACAGAAATGTGCATGTTTAATATTTTTCCTGTTGCAGAAAAGCAGCAGGAGATGGAAAGCGCGCCGTTCTCATCGACCCCCTCTGGGCGAAGGTACAGTCCGCCTGGACCAATAACTGCTTCCGGTTCCCTAATTCATATTATTTAAATATGCTTTAATAAGTTGTGCATGTGTAACCCAGTGTAAAAACACAGGAAAATAATAAAATGATGTTGATTTAATGTCTTGTTCTACAATAAGTTAAAACGT